CCTTTCTAACACCTTTGCGTAGACTTTACCTGGGAAGCTCAATAACGTTATGCCCCTATAATTGGAGCATCCCTTGTGGTCTCCCTTCTTGAATACGAGTACAATAACTCCCGTTCTCCAGTCCGCTGGTGTCTTTCCCGCAGTCATTGCAGCTTGACAGACACGTGTTAGCCAGCACATGCCTTGTTCGCCTAAAGCCTTGAGCATTTCAGGGCGGATTTCGTCAGTTCCAGCAGCTTTTCCATATTTCAAGCATTTCACAGCTTGTGTAATTTCATCTATAGAGATAGTAATATCCGTCCCTTCTGCTCTACAGACGAGTCTTCCTGCGGTTGCGCGAGGTTAAGGGATTCCTCAAAGTACGCCCTGCATCGCCGAAGAATGTCATCAACCTTGGTAAGAGGGTGTCCGTATCTGTCCTTGAAGACTCTGAGACTGCCCTTCTTTTCACCTCGGAGCCGGCGGATGATCTTTCAGAAAACTGTATTTACCTTGTGGAAATTCGACTCCAACCTCTCACCGAACTTCTTCCAGGAATCAGCCTTGGCTTTCGCCACTGCTTTGGCTGCCGCCTTGCGTGCCTTGACATATCGCACGCGAGTAGAAGGCTCCTTATTTCCAAGCCATTTCTTGAACGCAGACTTCTGTTTAACTGCCATTTGTACCTCTGGTGTCCACCTGGAAAATATTTTTTGACCTCCATTTGGCATTCCAACTCGTTTAAATCCGCAGCATTAGGTGGCAGCCTCGAGTATGCTGCTCTTAATGAGCTGCCACTCGGTTTCCAGATCAGTTATCATCACCGGGATCTGTTTAAACCGTCGTGCGATGTTGTTTGCATTTTTCGCTCTCGTATCCACCGAAGATAATGTTTTCCATTTGATTCTCTGGTTGCTGCTGCCGCCGGATCTTCGTATGGTACTCCATTTCTTACAGCGCAGCGTGCCAACAACAGGGTGATGATCGGTTGATAGCTCTGCGCCTCTCTTAACGCGAACATCCATTACCGGGCGTCTTAAGTCGTACGATACGATTATCAAAGCGATCATTGACTTCCGTAGACAAACTTCCCTGTACCAGCTGTGCTGATGCACTCTTCGATTCTCGAAGAAGGTATTCATAATGGCTTATTCATTGTTTGCACAAAACCGCAGCTGGTTCATGCCGTTATTGTTGAAATCGCTAGGGCCGATTTTCCAGTCGCGCCGTGCCGCTTGTCAGGGTCTACTCCGACATGCGCGTTAAAATCGCTTATGAGAATGAGGGATTCTCTGTTCGGCGCTTCGCACAGCACATACTGCATTTCTTCAAGGAAGGTATCATATTCACCCTCCAAATTGGTCCCATAGACCTGTACCATAGTTAACGCTTTAATCTTTGTTGCTTCAGTCGAGGATTACCACCCTTCCGCTGGCAGGTTTCCAATCACTGATTCTGTCTGCGAGATTAAGTTCTACCAGAATACCAACACTGGCCTGTGCGCCAGTCGTGATATCGACACCTGAGTTGAGTTGCTTCCACCTGCAGAGGTTCAGGATTCCAGAACGTTGGCGTTTTGTTGACGAGAATCCAACAATGTCTAGTTGGTACTTTATGGCTTCATCACCTAACTCTTGCTCTTTCCCTCTGAGTAAGGATGTATTCCAGTTTCTGACTGTAAGTTCCCGCTGACGGTGTCGTTCTCGTGGAGCCTTTTCTGAAGTGCTTTAATGGCATCGCGCTGCCTCCTACCTCCGTTCAGAGCTGTTAGTGACTCCGTTGCTGACTTGTTTATTGGTCGTCATTCCGTTGATCTTCGTCTGCGGTTGTTGTGCTGCTACTTCCCCAGCTGAGAAAGGGCGATGAGTAGAATATAAATAGGCGTATTAATTCTAGTTTTTTCCATTCGATGAATTCAGTTAGGGCGGGCGCTTTACGTTTCAGCACACAGTGGATTGTCAACATCCTTCACTTCACAAGCAAACTGACTCCTTTCGCTGGCAGCACAAGCTCGCTGAAATTCTGAATGATGGGTTATCATGCCGGATGTAAACGGCCCAAGTCGTCGGAATCAAAATGTCTTTAGCGCAAGTGCTTGGTTGGTTCCACCATTCGGTGATCTACCATTACCGGATTTTATGTATGGAATCTCACCTCACTTACAGTTTTGAGCTACAACTGGTTATGTTAACGGTGAAATTTGAGCATACTACTTATTAATTGTATTTATGGAAACTGAAATTAGTTTTTGATGTTTTTTCTCTCAGATTTTAACATATTTGCACAATATTTACGCCCTTTAGCCTTGCGTGCGTTTGTCTTGAGTGCATGTTTCTTCTGTCTCGATGTTATGAATCAGAAGTGCCTTGTCCTTTGAAAGAATTTTCCTTAGCTAAGTCGACACTGGACAGTGTAGCTTTTCTGCTTCCTTCTCACGAAACGATGCTCGTTTATCTCGTCTCGGAAAGATCTGCCTAGAATCCAGCCTGTGATTTTTCTGCTGCAAGTTTGGCGCTGTTCAGGCTTTTTCAGCGGTAGAAAAGCGGGACAGATTCATTTATTTAGTTGCAAGAAATCAGCATAACATTCATGTCATAAGAATATGGTTGCCGAATATAAAACGACATTTCATGTCATTGAGAAACTATAGAACGGTATTTACAGCCTCTTCAGCCTTTGTTGCCTTTAAAGTTTCTTATGGAACATATGCTTTATGAAATAAGTCAGTCCTGAGTACCAGAAATACTTAAAGTACTTTACAGAATCTAAGTTACGATAAATAAATCAACATCAATATTTTTTTTTCATAGTGTTTTCTTTGGCAGGGATCGATGCCTTCTAATTTTTTATCTTTGGTAGAATCTTTGGTCACTTCTCACAGTTCCAGATCGTTCGTTACGACATCGCACCACATTTTCTTTGATCTTTTCTTTCTTTTTTTTCCTGACGGTATCAGTCCTTATTCTATATTTTCAGCATACTCGTCGGATGGCTTTTTCACGTAGCCGAACCAACGGAGCTTGCATTTGATTGGCTTTTATGAAACTGGTGCCGTGCTACTGTTAGGTGCCTCTTATGAAGCTATTGTGTGTTGTTGTTTTTTGCTGACTTTACACATGCGTCGGAAGATTCGCATTTCTATGGTGTTCAGTTGTTGTTATTGCCTTTAGGGTAGCCAAATATTCCGCTCTGTACAGAAGTACCGGTTGCTGTCGTTCAGTACACCTTTCCATTTAGCTTGATGAGCTTTTTTATCGCGTATTACGCTGCTCACTTATGTCCATTAGAGCACGCTTTTTATGACCGATTTCTTAATTCACGGTCGATTTCCCCACTGTCTTGAAGGATGAAATTAAGATACATGAGTTCTTGAAACTTTCACTGATTTGTTTTCTTTTCCTTTCCCCCTCCCCCGCCATTGAAATGGGCCGCCATATATTCTGACTTTCCTTTGCTGAGAGGAAGGCCGCTTTTCGCAAGGACTCTTCGTCATTCTTCTATTTCTGATTCTACTGCTTCTCTGCTTTCGCTACTCAGCGCTGCATCTCTGGATTGATCGTGCAGTATTGGGCTGTTAAATGGAAATATTGAATTATCGCCATCGACAACAGAAATGGCCGCAGTGCTGAACCTTAACTTACCCCTGCCCTCAAAAGTAATTCTCTTTTTCGTTATGTGCTGTGAACTGTGTTTGTCACACGATCGTGTCTGTTTTTAGTAAGCCTAACATTTTTTGGCAGCAACTTCTTTCCCAAGCTCCACAAAATTGTCTACCTTCTATAAATATGCGTCACGTGGAAAAAAATTGGGTGCTCTACATACTGCACTCCATTAATATCATATGCAGAGAATTAGACGCTCCTGGCTCATGTAATCGAAATGCAAATCAGCGAAATGTGAAAGCTGTTTGAAATTAGGGTACTAAGACAGCTTTCTTCATGAAAGTTTAAATTTAAACGATATGGCAGTGGTTACAAACTTTCTGATCTTCATTTATTCAGTAGAGCGTAAACATTACGAATTTAGTTTAAAAGTTTCAATGCACTGGTAAAAGGTCGCCGTTTCAGATTCTAAAATCTCTGCTAAAAATAAGCTACTTTTCACACGCGTTTAATGTCTTTTCCATCGCTTGATTTAATTTAAAAGTGTTTGCTTCGCTATCTGATAAAGTTTTTCATAAGCCTGGATGTATGTTTTCTTGTATGTTTCTGTCGTGTTAGAAATTTTCTCTGCCTTATTGTCTGCGTAGTTTTGATCGCGCGTCATTTTGTTTTTAGCACATTGCGCCTCTGCCATTCCTGCTTGTCGACAGCTTACTTGTTTGCCACCGTTATCCTAGCAAACTCTCTGGAGCAACGCGCATCGCATTCTTAGCGATCATCTACGACGCTTCGTATATATTTTTGTTAGAATAACGTTTCATACCTATCCGTTATTTTAGCATGGTTTACACTAACTGGAAATATGGGTATTGGATATACGGATTCCTCGACGTGCTTAGCACCGTGCAGCGTGCCATTTTCTTTACCTTTTCGATCTTTTGCGCAGTTGGCATCTATTTCCTTGGTTGGTGGTTCAATCTGTTTATATGGGGTAGGTGCTTTGTATTGTTTTATCATGGTCGTCGATTGAAGGCAAAACTAAAAGAGTATTCAACGCTCTGAATGAATGACATGGTATACGAAGCCATCGTACACTTTTTCGTTGGCAAATAGACTTTACGCGTGTCGTAAATGTTCTCTTATATGCGTGCGCTCTCACAAGATGGCCCGACGTCTTGTTTAGTTAGCCGAGACTGCTTTGGCGAGGTTATAATTGCACTATAACTGTTTCCAATTCACTTTATTTAATGGGTTTTGCGAACTTCGGCAAACAACTTCTGATGTTACCACTAAAATGATCGACACTCAAGATAGAATATAAATATAGTGTTGAACTACTTTTCTGAATTTATCGGCAGAGTCCCAGCAGTTGAGGACCGGCAACCCTGTGAGTAGGGATTGCATGATGCGAGAAAATGCAGTTTACTGCATAATTTTGAACCGTTGCTGTTGTTTTAAGGTTTTTCGGGGGCTCTAAAATGGTCCAGTAGCGATGCCCTTGTATCTGAATTTTTCTTAGCTTTTATGGCAAATCTGTCCACAGGGACGTTTCGACTGCAACTTGGACGTAAGGATTCGAAGTCACCGTCCAGATTAATCTCCTGAGGAAGGCACTTGGGATTTTTTCACTCTGTTGCGTACATTTTCAGCAGTAA